AATACAGTAAGAACAGGGCAGCGTTTTCTGAATCTCATAATTAGGAAAAGTGAGTGAAAAGAAGGATAAATTAATATCCCGTTTCCTGCTTTAGTTACCTGGATGTATAGTGGTTCAAAGCACCAACATAACACATTTGGTGAACAACTTTGATTTTATACTGTTATACTGGTCACACAAAGCTGAAAGGGAAAGGTGAGATGCAAGACTAGAGTTAGGAGTAGCTAAAGTATAGCTGATGGTGAAAATCACTGTATATTAAGTCTGCGGGAGAATGTGCTCATTAGAATGAGAAACACAAGAATCATGAATAAAACCTAAGGAGACATCAATATTTGATGGAGGGAAAGGAATCAAACTAAATGAAAGTGAATGTACATATCAGAAGGAGAAAAGCGAAATAAGTGAGAACCCAAAGGACAAGTGAATGTCAGATGGTAAGTTACACCAGAGGCTAGAAGTCGAGTAAAAGAAGGGGCAGAAAGGACAAGAAAAAAAAAAAAAAAAAGCCTAACACATTTCTAATAAAATAAACTGGTAATGTTTTAGCAGCCAAATGAGCCAGGGTAACACTGTGTACATCAGTGTGTAGTGGCCTTGAATTCTCCATTCTCCTGCCTCAACCTTCCAGAGTACTGATTTCGTGGGTGTGCAGCACTCCGCCCTGTTAACAGTATGATTTCTAACAAGAAAATGTTACTGCCATTGTCAGGCAACATTCCATGAGAGTTTTTTAGGAAAATTAATCTGTATCTTGAGAATTTTGTTTGCTCTTCTCTTGTTTTCTAAATTCAATCAGTATTATTTTTAGTAAATGTTTTATTATAAACTAAGTAGTGAGTTTAATAAGAGGAGAGAACTAGTTTTGCATAGCTTCTGGTCTAAAGTGACTGCATAACCAATATTCATCAAGTAAACCAATTATCTAAAACTTTTATTAATTGGCAATAATATTTTATGGACAAGCTATATTTGGCCATTAATTAGTATTATGTGGCATAATATTTACAAAGTTAATACATTTTCATTCTTTAATTTTAGTATACAGCTCAAGTTGTTCTACATTATTATAATTTTTTAAAATGAAATGTTATCTTTAATGTTAGCAACTATGTATTAAGGTAACTTCTTTCCTGTTTTGTTTGCAGTTTGGGCAAGACAGATGGACTGGCCCATAAAAAAGTAAATTAAAGATTTGAAACTTTGAATCCAATTGAAGATAAGATACTGAATTTTAAATTAGTTGCTGTTAGGGAATATATTTTAGTAATGTTCTGGAATGAAACAATCAAAAAGAATAATAAAGCAAATATTTTAAGAATTAAAGTGATGGATTTACTATTGCAACCCATCTGTGATCTGGGATGATGGCACAGTGCGCAGTAATGATCTATTCCATAAGTTCAGGAGAGCATATGGGAAACGTCTAGATTCCCAGCAAAGAGACAAAATCTTGGAGTGAGCTCATAGATGTTGTTCTTTTGTTGTCGTTGTCATTTGCTTCTTCAAATACTCTTTGAAAATAAAACATGAAAAGTTCATCATAGATATGTATCTATTACCAAAAATACAGATTAGTCTGAAACAGAATGGAATTCAGTCTCCTCCTGTCCCCACCAAAAAAAGAAAAGAAACACTAGAACTTATATGACTGCTCTCATCTCTTCAATATTAGAAATAAATACACTGAAATATTTTCTGATTCTATTATTTTATACTATTTTTAACTTCTAAAAAATGTAGAAGTTCTATCAAGAATATATCTATCTTCACAATACTCTCTTCAGAGGAAGTATATACAAACTTCATCTTTTTCTAAAACTTAAATATTATTACATTGAAATATACAATGCATAGCATTTCACAGATACGCACATCCTTGTTTTTATTGTTAGTAAATATTACTCACTCGCATCAACATAATCCCTCTTTTCTTTCCTGATACCATTTTCTCCACAACAGGTTTCCATGACAACATATATTCAAATTCTTATAAACTTCTGTATTGGAGTACTATTGTTAAGAAATCATAAGTATAAAATATAAACTTATTTAACAAAATAACTTGAACAATTTAGATTACTCAAATATGTACTTATATCATAAAACTAAAAAACCATAGGTCAGGAGGTGTACTAACCAACAAAGGACAAAAATACAGTACTATAAGATTCAGTTAACTATTGAGCTTCTATCACTAGTGCTTTAGTCAGTTTAGGTCATAGAAGTTAGAAATAATATACATTCATTTAATAATTGTGCCAATCTCCTCAATATTGGGAAAGGATAAAGAAAATGAACAAGAACAAATAACAAATTGGAAAAGAAATTGAGACAGTTAAAATTATTCATTTCACTATTTCAAGAAAATATAAGCTAATGTAAATAAGTAAAAATTTATAAAAGTGCAAATACTTAACTTCTATTAAGTATGAGACTTGCAGTAGTAAGAACACAGCTAAACCAAACCACTTGATAATTGATTTATGTTATTTATACTCATGTCCATGGAAAACATAGCTTCATCTTGTGGCCTCCCAATGGAAATTGATTTATCAAGCAGTCAGTTAACATTAAGTCAGACCATTATCTGAGCTAAAAGTTTTTTATATAAAAATAGTAATTCACTTTTAAATAGAACCATGTCTTCTGACTCAGGAAAGCCATAGTAATTTGAAAAATGATTTGCCTAAAAAAAGTACACAAAAGAAAGTAAATTATTAAATATTGACTGATCAATAAAAATGGAAAATTGAAACAGGAATAAGTTTAAGAAGTAAAATCAAGTCTTACATTTTTATTCTATTGTTGGGTAGTATTGGGTAAAAATGCTACAAGCCAAAGTCCTACAGCATGTATAATTTTAAAAGTCATAAGGACCTTTCAAAGCTTGAACTCTAGTGAATGTCTTAATTAGCGTTAAATCTCAAAAGCAACATGATCTACAGAGATTTCACAAGCCAATCAATTATAATCAGTGGTTTTGGTGGAAAGACCTGGAAAAGGATGTCATAAGACCTCTAGAATAATTTTGGCTATGCTCTTGACTTGATGTCTGACCTTGGCCGTCACATATCATCTGAGGGTTCATTTTGCTCCTCTACAAAAATACATCTCCTGCCTAGGTTTTTATGGTCTGTGATTCCTATCTGTTTTTGCTTCTACTTGTTCTTTGACCTTGTATTAATCTCCAATCTCTGCTCTTTTCTCACCTAAAATAGATGCTGGTCAAATTCTTAATGTAGTGACAATAAACTCTAGGTAAGATTTAAAGCAAAAACAATTTGAAAGTCAGTGATCTACTCTTTGGATCAATAAGCAATAGAATTAAATTCCATGGCAATAATAAAAGTTAAACTGTCTTAAACCTTTTGCTATATAACCTGGCTCACAATAAAATTTAACATAAAATATGAAGATATCCTGGAACATTATCATGACCAGTGACAATACACATTTTGTCTTTTTTTGTAGCACACAATCTGAAAAAAATAATCATATAATGAACCTTAAAACAAATCTAGTTTATCTTTTTAAGCGTCAAGTGGAAAAAGCACCACAGAACTCAGCTGGAAAGCAAGAAACACAGATGTAATGGTCAGGAGACTATGACTTAATTTTTTTTAAAATGTACTTTTTTCTGAATGCAAACTCTCATTGGACTTACAGGACAGTCTTAAAAGAAAGAGTCCAAGTTATTATTCTATGTTTAAATACATCAATGTAGACAAGCTAGAATTACACATATCCAAATGCCAGACCCAAGAAAGCGGCAATGTTGCCTCATCTACTGAAAACAAACCATATCTTCAGCCTGTAAGGCACTATCAGGAGCATATCTTCTGACTAGTTAGTAGATAGCCAACTCAATAACTGAGAGGCAAGGATTTGTGACATGCAAAAAAAGACAGCAATGCAGACAAATTCAAAGTAAAACTGAATGAATTCCCACTCTGCCCAGAGAGTGGTGACTCTTCTGGGTGGCAGAGCTAACCGGTCACCTGCAGTCACAAAGATTCCACTAAACACAGTACTCTCCCCTCATATATCATTTAAAAGCATTTTCGTACTGTGTGACTTCTCAATATTTATATTTCTTTTAAACTAAAGAAAGAATTATTGGTTACTTGTATAGTCCCTTCATGGAATGATCTGGAGAATTATCTAGGAGTGCCAAGGACTCAATTTAAGTTGGATAAACTAGAAACCAAAAGGAAAAACTGAGGCTAGGATCACAGTACAAAAAAGTAAAATAAAGCTTGCTATACACTAAATGACTCAGATTTAGAGAACTTGGATCAACAATGTGATTAATTCAAGCTCAACCTGTAAGGAATACAGATTCAGCCCAAGAGGAAAGACACTGCTCAAAACTTCAGTGTGCAGTGGACCTCTCAGAGATCAGCTCACTGAGAAGAGCAAACCCAACACCTACTCTTCTCCCTGGGGAAGAGACAGGCCACAGAGCATTCAGTTCAAAAAGCGAACCTCCTGGCACATCCCCTGCACACGTATATCCCATTCCTCTTCCTGTGACCTCAGATTAGATCCCTAATTGGAGCCACTGCCTGGGTGAGCCAGACGTGAAGGAGAGTCAAAGCCTCACCGCAAATGTCACATCAGGATGACCAAAAGTCCCCGAGAGGCACCCAAGCTAAAGGAAAAATTGGGAACAAAAAAGTAAGAAAAAAACCGAAAGTGATACTGATTTCAGAACAAGGTCCCAGACTTGCACAGAGAAGTTGATGTTTGCCCTTCAGGTCCCTTCTGCTAAAGTAAATCTCAGTTTGAGTTGGAAGCATAGAAGTGGGTGATGGGAAGGTCGGGGCCAGGGTCCCCAGTTTTACCCTGCCTGGGTGGAAGCTGGAAACTCATCTCTAGAGGGCGGCTGCTCTCCTCTCCCTCTCCCCCTTCCTCCCTTGGTGAAAAAAGAAAACAAAAAGTTGGAAAAGGAGTTGGGAGAAGTTGGAATAGCAGGGAAGGGGCTATTCTGGCCTTACCCTGGCGGCTCTGGATGAGTAGGGGTCCTCGAAGAGGGCCCACATGCGGGGCTGCAGCTTTCTCCAGCGGCCGGACTTGCCATCGGGCCCCCCCAGCCCCGCCGCATCCTCAATGCCCAGCCTCTTGGCCGCCAGGTCCTCCTCGTCACCAGGATCACCGCCGATGAGGTCGGGGGTCTCGAAGATGTCCAGCGCCTCCTCCGCGTCGCGGTGCTGCCGGTAGGTCATCCAGCAGCAGGGCTCCACGTCGGTCTCGTCGATGCCCCAGAAGGCCAGCTCCTCCTCGAAGAGCGGCCCGCACACGTCGGCGGGGCAGTGCAGCTTGCCGGTGCGGTATGGCGAGCGCGGAGGGGGCAAGGGCTGTAGCTTGTCGCCCGTCGCCGTCAGGCAGTCGCCCTGGGGCTCAGAAGCGGCGAGCAGGGCCAGGCGCGTTCCGGGCAGGGTCTTGAGGGTGCTGCGGTAGGTCTCGTGCCGGGTGCCCCCGACATTGAGGATCACCCTCTCGTTGTTCTCGATCTTGCCCATCTCTGTGGCTCAGACATGACTAGAGGGGGCAAGGGCTGTAGCTTGTCGCCCGTCGCCGTCAGGCAGTCGCCCTGGGGCTCAGAAGCGGCGAGCAGGGCCAGGCGCGTTCCGGGCAGGGTCTTGAGGGTGCTGCGGTAGGTCTCGTGCCGGGTGCCCCCGACATTGAGGATCACCCTCTCGTTGTTCTCGATCTTGCCCATCTCTGTGGCTCAGACATGACTAGAGGGAAGGCGAACACCGCGCCAAGTTAAACATCTAGGCCGTCGTGACCCCCACCCCCACCCCAACCCAAGAGCCCCAAGACAGGCAAGGGGCCAGGGACCGTCCCAGGAATTAGGCTCCAGCCCTGATCCTGCCTCTTGAATCACACCTCAGGTTTCCAGAGAACTAAGATCTCAGTTCCAGTCTTCTTTGACCTCCCAGGGTCCTTCCTGGCCTCACACCTTCGTCCCTTTGCTCTGCTCTCCCCTCCTGTATCTTTCCACCCTTCGCCATCCTTCCTGTTCCCTGTCGAGTCCAACCTGCTTTCAGCCTGACCCCTCTTCTTCCCCAATCTCTCCCTCCCCTTTGGCACCATCTCTCCCCACCCCCTGAAAGATTCCTGGCTTCCACTCTTCTAGACCCCTTCTTCCCATTCCCCTAGCCTGGATGCAATTCTTTCAGTCGGGGAATTCTGTCCCTAAGGCCACTTGGTAGTGTTGGGTGAGGGTCCCGGGCCTGGCCCAGAGCCCCTGGGTGGCACGCGTACCCCTGGCCAAGCCTGGACTGCTCTCTGCTCCCTGGCACTCAGGGAGTGCCCTTTGCGCGCGACCTGTTCTCGGTTCACCTCTCCTCTCCCTCACCGACCCGGCAAAAAAGACTGAAGTCAGAGAAAAGAAAAGAAAAAAGAGAGAGAGAAAAACAAAATCCTGGCTCTTGCCTTTCACCAAGGAGACCTCTGACTAATTTCCTCACCCAATTTCCTTTTCACATTATTGTTATTGTTGTTGTTAGTGTTATTATTACTTGGGAAAGGAAAGGACTCACTAGGATCCATCTTTGAGAATTGAAGTGAGCAATGCATCCTACCCATCCCCCTTCCCAAGAAAAACAAACGTCCTGGGGGAGGGAGGGGGTGCCTTCCAGGAGGGGCGAGGCCCAGGCACACCCCCTGCTCCGAGGGCTGCTTGCCTCGCTGGCAGAGTCCCCGCTCTCAGCCTCCCACCTCCGCTCCCCTGGGCTTCACCTCTCCATTCCGCCCGCCCAAAGGCTGGGCTCTGAGCGCCCGCGGGGTCAACCTGTCCTTCCCAGGAAATGCCCCTTGCGTGCCCGCCTCATCCCCAGATACCTTAAGGAGACCCAGAGAAAAGTGGTTCTGCTTTGGTTTCCGAGGGGACGCGGTTCTGGGCAGCTGGACTGAGCCGCCTTTCTCAGAGGAGAAACTACTTGTTGGCGTTTTGCGGGTTCAGGTGGTTGCGCCGCTCTTCTGGGCGCCGAGGTCGGGGACTCAGCCCCCGCCCGCCGCCGGCCGCGCTCCCCGCCTTCATTCTGCGATCTGCGGGTTCTGCCGTCGCCAACCTCCGCGCCCAGAGTCACCATCGCGCAGGGCTGGGCGAACCATGGAGCTCGGGGCGGGTCCAGCCGGCGCTGCCCGACCCTGCCGGGAACGCACAGATCGGTGGGCCGTGGCTGCACCCGAGTCTGCCGGGGGTCAGGAGAGCTCACCCCCTGGATGTCGAGGTCGCCCAGCTCAGATTTGAATCTGCAGAACTGCTTCTTCCCCCGGAAAGAAGCAGCACTCCTGGAGCTGTCCCTCCAGCACCACGCGCCGCCAGCCTCCTGCTCCTGCCGCCACCCTAGGACGCAGCTCCAGAAAGGGTGGCGGGTGGGTCTGGGGAGGCTGTGTTGCACCAACCAGGCTCCTGTATTTTTCTTCCGTGAAGCTGTGTCCTCGCCCTCTCTCGAGTTTCTGACCGCCTTATTTACACACCACTCTCCGCACCCTTTCTCTCACCCCTCCCAACAAGTGAGAGGATCTAAAAGCAATTGCATTTTTTTCTTAATGACAGCTGACGAGAGGTCTACTTACAGGTGACAATGAATCGTGTTTCCTGTGTCTTACACATGACTGTGGCTGCTCTTTTCAGTCGAAGGTAGGACTCCAGCCACCATATCACTGTTGTGTAAGGCAAAGGAAATTTTAAAAGTTTATTCCAGGAAAATAATGTTCTAAAAAGTAAACTTCAGGCTTCTTTGTCAGAAGCTAAAGGCACGAGCTTTAGAAACTCAAACACAACAGTAATCCTTAAACAAGCCAATTTCTCCCTTTCTCGGGTTTTTTTTTTTTTAACTTGCTAGTGCTGAGATAAAAGGGTGACTTAAAAAGTGGATTTTTGCTGTCTCACGGTGCTCCAGGCTGGAGGTCCAAAATTAAGGTGCTGAGGAGGCTGATATGCTCTGAAGGCCGTGAGGAAGGAATCTGCTACAGGTTTCTCTCACTGGCTTGTAGATGGTCATCTTGTCTCCGACTCTTCAGATCACTATCTCTGTACCCACATTGTCTCTGTATCCAAATTTCCTCATTTGGTAAGAATAGCAGTCATAGTAGACTCACTTGATGTTAATATGATCACCTCTATAAGGACTCTATGTCCAATGAGATCACATTCTGAGTATTGGAGCTGAGGACCTGGGGACTGTAACACATTGTTTGTGGGAAGGCCCAACTTAGAACAACCCTCCTCACCATAGGCCTAGTCTGTTTGGATTGTTGATCACCAAGTAGGAAAAGCTAAGAGAAGGAGATATCTTTGAAAAATAGGTATTGCTATTAACATTATTGTCTGGAAAGATTCAAAGTTATGAGTAACATTAACAAGAAAACTTTAACAATACGGAGTACTTTAAGGTAGGTGGTGAAATATCAACAGTTGATCAAATCAAATATATATGTTCTATAAAATGTTAAATAAACAAAATGAGGAACTAAAATGTCTTTGGAAGTTTATTAATGCTTATGCAAAAATGTGAGAAAGCCTGGAGTTTATATACATTTGTAATAAAATCACTAGCCCACACCTATAATCTCAGTGCTCTGGAAGGCTGAGGCAGAGGACTCACAAGATGAAGCCCAGCCTGAGCAAACTAGTGATTTAGCAAGACTCTGTCTCAAAGTTTTAAAAAATCTAAAGGGCTGAGGAGTATCTCAGTGGAAAGTCCCTAAGTTCAGTCCCTAGTACTGAAAAAAAAAAAAAGAAAAAGAAAAAGAAAAGAAAATCTCTGATGACAATAAATCTGTAATGGTGATGTAAACAAGAATGTAAATATAAATATGAAGCCAGCATTTGAGCTGTTAACACACACATGAAAGCATAGAACTTGAATACTGAAAGAATTGTCTCAATTTTGCACAATTATCAATCCCTGAGGAATTTCTTAAGATAGCAGTGATAGTAGATTTCAACTGCCAGAAAAACTAAAAACAAAAGAAATATACAAATTCTGATTTTTTCCTGCTCTTATAGTTGTTCTATAGTTCCTTATATTTTCTAATGCTATAATTCAAGAGGGACAAAAGAGGCATGTGGTTTGTTTAAAAATAGTAGTAATAGTAGGAATGGAAACATTTATACTAATAGATGGCCTATACCAAGATCATGCTATATGCAAAATAGATTTCATGAATTCCTTTTTTAATTTAAATGGAGGAAATATTCATATTAAATCGCAAGACTATAGAAAGACAACTCATACAGATGACAGGGCTCACTAACAAGGGCCTTTCATTGTATAACAGTAAATTTTATGATGTGAGATCTGTAAAGAAACCAAGAAAGGGAGGGAAATGATGCAAATAATTCAGGAAAAGAGAAATGAAACCCAAAAACCTGACGATTCAATTTGAGCCTAAGGTTATATAAGGGATCTAGAAATAATCACATTGACAGGAAGATCAGCCTATAGAACCCAGACTTATGATCCATAAAGGATCAGATGTGAAATGGGAGAACCTGACAGATAAGTTTGAAAATAAGAATGTGGGAAGATCAAAGGATGGAATGTTCGTGTCGAGGAAGCATTGATGCACAAAGCAGTGAATAAAACATGGCCTCTTATTTTTTCTGCTCAGTATAAGAGGGAGAAATGCTAAGGCAAATATCCAAGCTCCATTATATAAGAAGAAGAGAGCCTAAAACCCCTCCAGCCAACTAACTGATCCTGCTGTAAAGTTCAGATAAAAGTGAAAGATGGTGATGGAAAACTGGGGAGGAAAAAACAGTTAAGGTTTCTTTTGTGGCCTGTGGAGCAAAGATTTAAAAGCCCCCTTTCAGGCAAACAGCTAAAATGCTGATTCTTTATATTCTGGAGTCAGCATCACAGACTTCTATGGACACTGAACACTACATCACAGTCCAAAATACAGAGTGATCTCACACAGCTGCACTGTAACTCAGAATGGCAATCTTGTAAAATAAAATTTGAACAAATTAACTCATTTAAAATTGAATAAGAAAATTTAAAAGCATTATTCAGCCGTACAAAGTAATATGTTCATAAAATAAGTCCTCCATGTGGAAGATCACAATTTTCCATTCTATAGATGAGGTCTTTGTGCAAAGTTCAAATCTAGCTCAATTAGTCATTATACCACAAATGTAAGAACATTGAAATTTTAGAATCCTTATAATAAAACTGCATTCTTTTTAAATTATTCCCACTTGCCAGATGCAGTAGCCCACCCCTGCAATCCCAGCACTCAGGGGGCCGAGGCAGGATGATCATCATGAGTTGCAGGCCAGCCTGGGCTACCCAGAGTTAAAAGCCAGCCTCAACTACAGTGAGACCCTGTTTCAAAGAAAAAAAGAAACAAAAACAAACAAACGAAAGGAAATTATTCTCACTCGAAAATGTCTAATTTAACCATTTTTAAAAACAAACTCCATTGTTTTAGTCCATTTGATGTTGCTTTATCAGAATATCTGAGACAGAATAATTTATAAAGTATAGCAATTTATCCTCTTACTGTTTTAGTGGTTAGACAT